GAGAGAGAGAGAGAGAGAGAGAGAGAGAGAGAGAGAGAGAGAGAGAGAGAGAGAGTTGTTTTTTTTTTTCCGGTGGACACAACATCTTTATTTTATGTGGTGCTGAGGATCGAATCCAGCACTGCGCGCATGCCAGGCAAGCGGGCTACCACATGAGCCACATCCCCAGCCCAAGATGTCAATTTTTTGAACACACAGTTACAGATTCAACATAATTCAAATCTCATCCCAGAATTATATAGATGCATGTTGTATTTGCAATTTGTTACATATAGACAATAGTCTGTCAATTTCCCCTAACAGATATTACAAAAATATTTTTAATTCAGGAAATATAACATATTTTGAATGTTGAAAGCTTGTTCAAAATAATTCCTATTTTTTTTCCTGCAAGTGCAACAATATCTCAAACATACAGTTTAATATATAAAGCTAATACACATATATAGAAATTTTTCTTTCTCTTTCCATCCTTCCATACTCTTCCTTTTCCTTCCTTCCTTCCTTTCTAAAAAAGTGTTCTAACCAATATTTTTGCACTCAAACAAAATAAAGATATAAATAAAATGAATAAAAGTGAAAAGATCACAGTATATTTCCACAAATAAAATTTCACATCTCTTTTAAAAAATATTCATATAAAAGAAAAATTATTGAAAATATTGAAGATTACTTTTACACTACACTTATAGTTTATTAATGTTATATGTGATATAGGATTTTAATAATTCTATATTCTAAAGTTTCCTACATAGATAAAATCCTGAATCCTCTTTTTTTAATTACCTTGTGACCTTAAATGATTGATTGATTGATTCTTTCTTTTTAATTTCTTTTTTAATACATAACATTATGCATTCATTTTTTCTTACTCAAATCTATGCCTCTGATATAGAAAGAAATAGTATAATGAAAAAATCAGTTTTTTCATATTTTAATATTATGTATTGTCCACTTCTCATCATAATGATTATATGGTAAGAGCTTAATGGTTTAACTAGTAATTAACTCTTTTTATACAAAGTTACATCAGAAGAAGGTCTGAAATTGAAAGCTAATTTTGAAATTAAATGTGAAAAAAATATTTTAAAGTGATAATGGTCAGAACAAGTATTTTTAAACTGCTAGTGAAAATCTGTTTTTTTCTAATAAAATTATTTTGCAAAATTAAGTATATAAATTATTGAAATTAATCTTTAAAATCAAAGACATAAATAAGCATGATTAGGAAGCTGGAAACTAAAATCAATTGCATATATAAGGAGAAGAAAGAAAAAAGAATAAGTGTGTCACATTAGATTGGGTAGAGAGATGTGATGGGAGGGGAGGGGTAAGTGGGATAGGAAGGGCATCAGAATAAAATAGACATTATTATTGCTGTATGTATATAGGTAACTGTATGACCAATGTGATTCTACAACCTGTACAATCAGAAAAATGAGAAACTATACCCCATTTGATTCAAATGTATGAAATGTCAAGATCATTGTACTGTCATGTGTAGCTCATAAAAATAATAATAATTGGAAGATCAGTGGAGTAGAGACAGTGGGAGAGAAGTACAGGGAAAGAGAAGGCATTGGGAATGAGATTGATCAAATTATGTTATATGCATGTAAGAACACAACATAATGAATACCACTATTCTGTATTATTATAATACACAAATAAAAATAAATTAATTTTTAAAATATGCAGATAAATTAATTTAAGTTTCTATTCCTCTTATTACCTATTTTTATTATGTAAGATTTTTTTATAATTTGCAACAATGATTCACTTCAATATCTCAAATTTTCATATGTTTTTATAATTAAGAAAAATAAAACTAAGAATAAGTTAATTTTCATTAAAAAATGTATTTGTATTTAAAGGTTACCAAGTGTAATGGACTACATGCAGTAGTTATGGGAGGCAGTCTGAGGGTTGGTATAAATGAGTAGCTTAGCCACATTAGCAGAGAAGATATATTTTTGAGTCAGGAGACAACATAGGTCAATAAACATTAAAAGAGTACCTGTACAGATCCAAAAAAAGCAAAACTGTAGAAATAATATGTCAAGAAGAAAGAAACCAGTTCCAGGAACATGAGTCCTCTAAAAATGAAAGGTTACATAAATTGCAACGGGGCAAAATAAGTACTGTAAAGCATGTTCAAAATATAGCTTAGGACAAAAAAAAATAAGGATATAGTATATCAAAACTTTTAAATATTCAAAAGTCTTACTAGGATAGCTTATGTACTATAACAGGAAGGAGAGGATAAAAGGATACCTTGTTGCATTTTATATAACTGGGCTTGAGTATGCTGATAAACTAGAAGCAATCTATTCAGTCTCAATGATCTAAGGAAAGGACATGTAATGAAGAAAAATAAACTTGAACCAGATGGACTGGACAACAATAGAACATTTTATAGATTGCCAAGGAAATAAAAACAACAGGTAAGAAACCACAGCCTTGACATGAACATATCTCTTAATTTGATAGAAACAGAAATTACTAAAATCATATATTTCTAGCAAGCATAATAATTTTGTTCACAATAAGGACCAATTGTTCTTAGCCATGTGGAACCAAAATTAATTTCTAAATTATGAACAAAGAGATTGCAATAATTCTCCCTAATATTTAGGAATAAGTAGAATCAGATAATTTAGTTTATTGTTATAGACTTTAGGAAAACTCTTTAAGGAATATAAAATTTGCATACATAATATGAAATGAAAAGATTTAATGATAATGTTTTATATTAAAAATCTTGCAAAGGTATTTTAATAAATTTCAGAAATATTCCAAACTTTGACCATTATAAACATAGATTAACTTTTATCTGCCCTTGTTTTCTCCATGTCCCCAATTACCACTGCACATTCAACTGTTCATTTTCAAAAGGGCAGGTGATGTAATTTTCCCAGCTTTTCAAATTATATCTTTCCACTGTGGTTATCAAATCTCAATTATAAAAGTTGTCAGAGAAATTACTGTAAATATAAAATCTTAAACTAAATTGACATTAACAGAGACTTGCTTATTTTGCATATTAGAATTAAAGAACCCTGTAAATATTAGGCTACATCAGTTTAACATAGATAAATTGAATTAAGCAAATAATTAATCTAAAGAGTATGGTGACCTTGGAAAACTTTTGTCTTAGAGATGCTTTCCTGCCTGGCTAATAAATGTACAAAATCAGAATTTTTGAGATATGTGTTACTTTCATGAGGGTGCTATGAAAAGAGAGAGAGAGAGAGAGAGAGAGAGAGAGAGAGAGAGAGAGAGAGAGAGAACTGTGATGCCCTTTCAATAATGTCATGGATTGAAAATGATGGGTTAGGGCATTTGTATTTAACAATTATTTTGACAATACCCAAGGATGTATCAATATAAATGTCAAAATATGTTGCTGTGCAACACATTATTAGATATGCCAAAGAAAGAGGAGCATTTGAGTTGACACAAATGTAAAGGCAGAATTCACATTGAATGCAGGAAACTGTGTTGAAGAAGATCTCTCTGGAGTTAGATAAGATATGAAGTCTGAGGGCCATTTATTAAGCAGGAGTATCTTTGCAGAATTTTAAGGTGATTATAAACCAGATCAGCACAGTGGAAAATAGGATGGAAAGGAAAATTATAAAAATGATATTACCTTGAGATGAAAGTAAAGAAGACATTTCAAGAAAATGAGAAATTTTAAAACAGGTACAAATAAAAAACGAGGAAATTAGTAAGTTTTACTATTAGATTTAGCATCAAGAGTATTTAAAATGTTGTGTTTTAAACTATAAAACCATTTATTTCTTATTAATCATGCAATATTTAGGACAAAGATAGTTCCTTTAGAATCATACATTAGGGAACTTTTACTTTTGTCTATATAGAAGTCAATTGTAACAGAAGAACAACTAAAATATCTATATAAATGGTATTTTATATTTCAAGATAATGTTTGATACAAGAAGAACAAAAGTAGCCAATGCAAATCTGTGAGGTAAAAAAATTGGAGGAAGGTAAGCATTCAATAAATTTTTGTGACACTTGCCAAAAGCCAAGACAACAGGAAAATTCTAAAAGACAAAGTTTGATAATCTCAAGGGCTACAGAGACAAAAAATAGGACAAAGTCTGTTTGCAATTCCTAACATGTGGGTAAAATTGTATAAAAAAGGTTTCTTAATCCCTTACAGCTGCTTTGGCAAAATACCGTCAGTGGGTATCATATAAACAGTAGAAATTTATTTCTCACATTTCAGGAGGCTGTGAGCCCAAGAATAAATACAGTGCCTTCAGATTCAGTGTCTGTTGGAGTATTGCTTCTCATCATAGAAGTGCCTTCTAGCTGTGTCCTCAAATACTAGAGAGCTCGTGGCAAACATCTTGGCCTCCTTAATACAGGCAATAACCCAATTCATAAATACCTTCATATCTAATCAATTCTCCAGAACCCCATCACCTTATGTCAGCACATTGGTGATTAGGTTCCAACATACACATTTTGAAGAAACTAAAACTTTCAAACCATAGAAGTAAATATAAGAAAGTAATTGTGCCTCTTTCAGCCAACCCTACAGCCCAGATTCACCCACACAGGCCTGTTCAGGACCCAGCCTCACAGTAGGCAAGGGTCCACCCCTCCACCAGCAGGCACCCACCAAAGCCCAGCCTCCATAAGAGGACGACCTCTTCAGACCAGCAGATGACCACACACACCAGCCTGTTTGGGACCCAGATGCACAGTAGGCCCAGGTCCACCCCTCCACCCATGGGTAGACACATTCCGGAGCCCAGCCTCTGGCACAGGAAGAGCCCTTCTGACCAGCAAAGTACCATGGGAGCCCAGGACTGGCTCAGATTCATCCACACCAACTTGCATAGGACCCAGGTCCACAGAAGGTCCGAATTCACACCCCCACCCTAACTGGGAGCCTAAGCCTAACCTACTTCCATCTTGGGACACTGCAGACATCGCCATAGCTTCCCCATGCAGTAGCCCCTAAATTTTGATAACAGGCAGGACTTAGAATGAGCTGTACATCTCAGAGCAGGCATCCCAGAGAGAGTGTGTGGCTCACTCTTTCGGCCCCCTATCTATAAGACATTGCTCCAATCTGGGGGCACCTTAACTATTATCTTGAGTTACTTCAGCTATTGCCGCCACCACTTTTAGATGCAATAGCACACAGTGAGGAACATCAGTAGGGTCTGGAAGCCCAGCATCAAGGTGAGGTACAGACATATAGGAAAGAAACTGTAATATCTCAAGTCCACATTCCAAGAAAGGAAGACACAAAGACAACATGAAAAATCAAGGGAGGAAAGTGCCCCAAACAAAGCAGGATACTATCATAACAGAACCCATGGACAGTGGAGTTGATGAAATGTCAGAGAAGGAGTTAAGAAGGTTCATAATTAAAATGACCTGTGAATTAAAGAATTACCTAGATGAGCAAATACTGGCAAAAACTGATCACTCCAACAATCAGATAAGAGAGCAAATACAGGTAGCAAAAGATTACTTCAAGAAAGAAATAGAGACTGAAGAAAAACCAGTCAGAAATCCTTGAAATGAAAGATATAATAAGTCAAATAAAAAACTCAATAGAAAGCATAACCTGCAGACAAGATCCCTTGGAAGAAAGAACATCAGATAATGAAGTCAAAGTATACAATCTGGAAAACAAAGTTGATCCCAAAGTGAAGATAGAAAGACACCATTAACAGAACATCCAGAATTATGGGACAGCATCAAAAGATCAAAACTAAGAGTTATTGGGATAGAGGAGAGAGAGAAAACTCAAATTACTAGCATAAATTATGAAAAAGGAAATATCACAACAGACACTATAGAAATACAGAAGATAATTAGAAATTATTTTGAAAACTTGTACTCCAATAAAATGGAAAATATTGAAGGCATCGACAAATTTCAAAGTCATATAATTTCCTAAATTGAATCAGGATGATACACACAATTTAAACATATCAATTTCAAGTGAAGAAGTAGAAGATTCTATCAGAACTACAAAGAAAATCCCAGGACCAGATGGATACACAACTGAGTTCTACAAGACTTGTAAAGAAAAACTAATACTAATATTCTTCAATTTATTTCAGGAAATAGAAAAAGAGAGCTTCCAAACTCATTGTATGAGGTCAATATCACCCTGATTCCAAAACCAGGCAAAGACACATCAAAAAAAGAAAACTTCAGAACAATATCTCTAATCAACATAGATGCAGAAATTCTCAATAAAATTCTGGCAAATAGAATACAAAAACATATCAAAAAGATCATGCACAATGATAAAGTGGGATTCTTCCAAGAGATGCAAGGCAGGTTCAACATATGGAAATCAATAAATTTAATTCACCCCATCAATAGAGTTAAAGAAAAGAATCATATGATCATCTCAATAGATGCAAAAAAGAATTTTGCAAAATATAGCACCCTTTTATGTTCAAAACACTAGAAAAACTAGGGATAACAGGAACTTATTTCAACATCATAAATGCTATCTATGCTAAGTCCCAGGGCAACATCATTCTAAATGGAGAAAAATTAAAGGCATTTCCTCTAAAAACTGGAACAAGACAGGGATGCCCTCTCAACACTTCTATTTAATATAGTTCTTGAAACACTGGCCAGAGCATTTAGATAGGCAAAAGAAATTAAAGTGATACACATTGGAAAGAAGTACTCAAATTGGCACTATTTGCTGATGATATGATTCTATATATAGAAGACCCTAAAAGTTCCACCAGAATACTTCTAGAACTAGTATATGAATTCAGCAAAGTAGCAGGATATAAAATCAACACACATAAAGCAAAGGCATTTCTGTATATCAGTGACAAATATTCAGAAAAGGACATGAGGAAAACTACTCCATTCTCAATAACCCACCCCCCCCAAAAAAAAACACCTTGGAAATCAACTTAACAAAACAGGTGAAAGATCTATCTATACAATGAAAATTGCAGAACCCTAAAGAAATAAATCAAAGAAGACCTTAGAAGATGGAAGGATGTTCCTTACTCTTGGATAGGCAGAATTAATATTATCAAAATGACCATATTTTAAAAAACACTATACAGATTTAATGCAATTTTGATCAAAATCCCAATGAGATTCCTCATAGAAATAGAAAAGGCAGTCATGAAATTCATCTGGAAAAATAAGAAAACCAGAATAGCTAAAGCAATCCATAGCAGGAAGAGAGAAGCAGGTGGTATCACTATTCCAGTCCTTAAACTATACTACAGAGCAATAGAAACAAAAACAGCATGGTATTGGCACCAAAACAGAAGGGTAGATCAATGGTACAGAATAGAGGTCATAGAGACTAATCCACAAAGTTACAATTTTCTTATGTTATCCCTATCTCTCACCATGCACAAAACTTAACTCAAAATGGATAAAAAAGTTTAGGAATAAAACCAGAGACTCTGTGTCTAATAGAAGAATAAGTAGGCCCTAATCTTCATCATGTGGGATTAGGACTCAACTTCCTTAATAAGACTCCTTTGGCACAAAAATGAAAATCAAGAATCTATAAATGGGATGGACTCAAACTTAAAAGCTTCTTCTCAGCAAAAGAAACAATCTGTGAGGGGAATAGAGTGCCTACATCTTGGGAACATATCTTTATCCCTCACACATCAGGTAGAGCACTAATATCTAGGGTATATAAAGAACTCAAAAAGCTAAGCACCAAAAATAAAATAAATAAATAACACAATCAATAAATGAGCCAAGCACCGGAACAGACACTTCTCAGAAGATGACTTACAAACGATCAACAAATACATGATAAAATGTTCATCATCACTAGCAATTAGAGAAATGCAATTCAAAACCACTCTACGATTTCATTTCACTCTAGTCAGAATGGCAGCTATTATGAAGAAAAACAACAATAAGTGTTGGTGAGGATGTGGGGAAAAAAGATACACTCATACATTTCTGGTGGGGCTGCAAATTGGTGCAACCAATATGGAATGCAGTATGGAATTTATTAGAAAACTGGAAATGGAACCACAATTTGACCCAGATATCCCTCTCCTCAGTCTATACCCAAAGGACTTAAAAACAGCATACTACATGGACACAGCTACATCAATGCTTATAGCAGCACAATTCACAATAGCTAAACTGTGGAACCAACCTAGATGCCCTTCAGTAGATGAATGGATAAAACAAGTGTGATATATATATACACAATGAAATATTACTCAGCAACAAAAGACAATAAAACCATGGCTATTGCAGGTAAATGAATGGATTTAGAGAAATAATGCTAAGTGAAGTTAGCCAATCCCCCCCAAAAAACAAATGCCAAATGTTTTTGTTTGTTTGTTTGTTTTTCTGATATAAGGAGGCTGATTCATAGGGGGTTAGGGAGAGGGAGCATGGTACAAGTAGACAAACTCTAGATAGGGCAGAGGGGTTGGAGGGGAAGTGAGGGGGAATGGGGTTAGAAATGATGGTGGAATGTGATGGTCATTATTATTTAAAGTACATATATGAAGACATAAATTTGTGTGAATATACTTTGTATACAACCAGAGATACCAAAAATTGTGCTATATATAGGTAATGAAAATTGTAATGCATTCTGCTGTCATATATAAATTTAAAAAAAAGAAAGTAAGTGCATTTCTTCACCAGTCTTCCCTATGAATCATTTGCCAAATTTGTGAATTATATTTAAATAAAGGAAACCAGGCAATTATCAAGTAATCTCCTACTAAGACACATAGTTCTCCATTTCATAGTGTTGAGAAAAATATTTATCCTGTGTAGTAGGACCTGGGACAGACTAGAAGTGGAATGAATCTTGCCACAACAGCTATCATGAATATTGATGTCAACCAAGTCTCTTTTGAGATGAAAGCAGATTTCACCTGACTCTCTTCACAAGAGAAATAGAGTAAGTAGAGGAATCATAAATGTTTTCACAACTATCTCCTCCAAAAAGAAAATGGAGAAAAGCTCTTATTTGTATGTTTTGCAGATATCTATAGTACAAATTCTCATGATGGGTTATTTCAAGTCACCAACCATTTTGCCAATATGGTATAATTGAATATAGATTTGCAAAGAAATTAACTCAGTTGGCTCTCATGAGTTAATATGAACTGGCTCTAGCACACATGTCAATGGACTGTACCTTCTCCATAAGAATAAAAATTACACGATATGTAATAAAAATTATATTTCAGTTGAAATTCTCAATAATATATATATAAAATTATGCTAAGATAAAATAAAAGAACAATAAAATAGATACAGAGATGAACTATCTTCTGCAATAACCATATACAAATATTTAAAAAGCTATATTTATTCTGTTTTAACTGATTAAAAGTTGGAGAAAAAAAACAGATTCTGCATCTAGTTCTTGTTTTAATTAATGACTCAGTCTAAAATTCAGTCTGATTAATCATTCAGCAGAAGTAGGATTTAAAGAACACTGATAATAAACTCACCAGAAATTTTAATTTTTTAATAATTTTTAGCAATTCTATTTTTAAAATTTTTCTAGTTTCAATTAAAAAGTCCATTTTGTCATACTTTGATATATAGTTAAGGCAATAGAAATTTTATCTCAGAATATACTTTATTTACCAAAATTCTCCAACTTAACTTCCATATATTTTAAATGTTTATTTTTAATCTATTGAACTGCAAAATGCCAGCAAGGTTATTTCCTGGTTTATAAATTGAATTAGAAAGCATATTAAAATATTAAATTCATAGGAGCTGTTATAATATTTTTTTCATATTTTATGTGCATTAGAGTTATACATACTGTTAATATTCATTATTTCATATTCATACATAAACATAATATAAAATGTATTGGAGAAGACACCAGATTTAGCTTGTATGTTGAAAATTCATTCAGGCTCTTAGAACACAGTAAAATTTAATAACTAGCCTAAAATAAGAATAGCTAACAAATT